TCACATGGATGAATAAGTATACACTCAACATGCAGAATGTCTTACAGTTTACAAACTATTTCCCTTTTTATGGATAGACAGTGAAAGGCCTTTGCCACATTGGTGAATCAAACCATTGTATACCATGCATTTTGTGATAATTGTTTGTTTTTGCTCACAATACCCAGAAAAATGGAGGGGATAAATTTAAATAGCAAATTCTGTGGTTAAAATTAAATAACATTGGAAGATCAAATTAACTTTGTACTGTTTAAAATTCAGTTTTGGTTTCTTGCTTATTCCAGCCTCTTGATATTCAAAAGCATTCCTTGTCATTTTTGTGTTCTTCTGTGTACATAACTTGAAAAATAAACACAGAGAAAGGAAACCACAAAGGATTAAACTTGAAGCTAAAGCAAAGTTTAAGTTGAGCCATAGCTGATCCAAATACTGAGCACTTTGTATTGTAACCCATTTAGCAGTAAAGTTTATCTATATCTGCCAGCTTGTCACAAGTCTTACTAAATTTAACAAAGTAATGGACTTGATAAAACTCAAACTATAACTCAGCTGGCTGCTACTTGCAACCTTAATTTCTAGATATCAGTATACAATAATCAATATGTTATAAATAAGAACCCTAATGCTTAATTTTGCAGTGATCGCCTGCCTCCTTTTCATTTGCAGACCAGACTGGAACCTCTATAGGTGTGTTTGCTTGTTTTGAGTGGGGATGGAAGAAAAGGAGTCATGCCGCATATCTGATTTATTAAATCGCATTTGTTCTGTTTTATACATGAGTAGAACTACCTTGTTCTCTGAAAAAAATAAAATTTCTCGCATTTTTATCTGTGCTTCGCAGTCAAACTTCCTTGTGTCTTGGACAAGAAATCTTATTTTCTTGAAAACAAAATCTTTGTTTCCAGCCTTCTGTAATAGGTAAATATGACAGTGTAAGATGAGTGACAGTGTATTTCTCAAGTTATTTTTTGGAATGTGACAAAACGGAAGTGTCATAGCGTGATAAGGAGCAAACATATGATTGCTTGATAGAATGCAAAAAATGCAGAATTGCATATATTTTCTCCTTTGTCAGCAGCATATGTTAGTGAAAAGTTCTTACAATTGTTAACTTCTAAACCATCTTCAATTTAGCCAAGATTGAACTGTTATCACGTTTGTCATAAAAGTATTCTGAGATCAATGTCATATGACCCATTCATGTATTTGACCTTTCAAATTAGCAAGCCATAGTTGACAGAAACACAAAGGTTGAGGATAAAAAGAAATTATTATATACAGTACTTCTTCTGTATCTTTTCGTTTCCTTTTCTCTCCAGCTGTTCAATCTATGCCGTGCTGGCAATTGAACACTTTCCTTCCCAAAATTAGGAAAGGCACACCAGTAAAAAACGAATTTTTGCTCCTTAAATATCTCATGCATCTTCCCCCAGTATTTTGTGACTTCTGTCCGAGGAAGGAGGTGTAAGCATTAAATTAACCCGAATGATTCCACGATTGTGGTATCATCCAAGCCATGCCAGAGGACTTGAACTAGACAAACTAGTGAGAATGCACAATAGCGATAGCAAAGCTTTGTAATGCTAAAGAGCTATATCAAATATATATAAATATATGTTCCCGAAACCTTTGACAGCTTTAAAGAAAGAAAACTTCGTCGTCAATCCTGTTTCAAATTCCGCAATAAGTTTAAGCGCCTCATCAACAGAATTTACGTATCCTAAATTATCTGCATGTCTAGCATGAAGCAATGGTTTGCGACTTAAAATTCTCGCTATGCTGTTTCTGTTTGTTCCTCAAGAATCATGGGATTTACAGCTTCGGATGTTCGGCTACATCACTTGCGGATTTCCGAGAATCTTCGGTTATGTTTTGCAAGTCATTAAATATTCCATCTCAGTCCCTCTCGACCGAGGTGGTTTTGGTGGATGGAATCTAATGCTGACCGTTTTTTCGTTCGATCGGCCGGCCGTTCATCTTTTCAGCGCCATTTTGAATGACGTCACAATTTCGTTGCGCAAAGGATGCTGCCTCGTGCATCGCAGTTTGTCGGACGTTCGAGGACGTGGTTTTTTTCATAATTGATTTCCTTTATTATGATAACTATTTCTAAATAGAAAAACACATTTTATCATCCCCGTACAACACAGAAAATGTGGTGTTAGATCTATAAATACATGTTGTGAAAGCTTTACAGTTTCTCTTTCATTTTATACTAAATTTCAGAAGTAGTTCACATTTTCAAAATTGTTTAATAACATAGATTTAAATAAAATTAATGCTTACATTTAAACACGTTTTCAACTATTCTCTTACTACTTACTAACACTTAACTACCACACCAACTACAGTAAAACTTGTATATGTACACGCCCGATGGACTGCGACGACTGCCTCCTCAAAAACCATACGATATAACTAGCCTTTAAAACCTTTTCGTACACAGAGTAAATACAGGTTTCACAGTACGCCATAACCCTTTATTTGACAACATACCATAGGCATATTCATCTATCCTAATAACCAAAAAACAATATTTCCCCTATGAAATGCCGAACGCACTTCCCTAATCTCCGATTACTACTAGTTTATATTCATTCCATATGTTTTTTTCGTTCCGAGTGGGATTTTTTATTTTCTTTCTAATTAGTACGCAACACGTGATCACATGACCACGCTACACTTTTTCCATTCCGCCATTTTGGCGTTCGGCTATATGGAGGAAGAGCTATCGACTGCTTGTCGTGCGGCCGCGGATGCTTTAGAGATTTTAAGTAATTTGAGACCTGGTTTTACGAGAAATGTAATACCTCGGATGAATTCAACGTCAGTCTCTGTCAGTCAGCCGAACAACGGGGATCGTAAGGTAAACAACGAGGAACTTCAGTCGAACGAACTTGCCATTCAGTCCTCGACGTCGCCAGCCTTTGACAGTTCTATTCAAGCTCGGCTTGCCACTCTCTTTCCGACAATTGGTTCGAACCGAGCTAGTGGGAAAAGTACTAGTAGAAGACCAGCAAGGTCAAAGCAGACCATTAAGTCGACCAAAGGCCGCCCACCCAAGACACTTGTTTACAAGGATCTAGTCCTTATTCCCAGTCCCAAGATCAACAAAGTGCCTACACATACAACCCGACTTCAGTTAGAAGAGAGAGAACTTGTCTGCCACGAGTTTCCCTTTGAGAAGAGCTGGGATGCACATTCCCTCAAAACTGCTATATTGAATCGATTTCCAAAGCTTTTGCTATTTGAATATGTCAAGATGGGTAACTTTGCGTTGTGATATAAGTTTAAACATTGTTCTACGTTTAATGCATTAATAATATCATTGCTGTTCAGTTTGTACATTAGTTGTGGCTGCACTATTTTTAAATACGCATTTATACTATTTTGCCAAAAATTTAACCTCATAAGAGGATACCTGCAGTGACGCGAGTAATGGACTTCGAATTTTTGGCAGAATTTGTTGAGTTATTTTAGATTTCCTCTGGTACTGCCCCGCTCCCACCCCTTTCTCCTTCCTTGTGATATAAGTTTAACTTAACTACTCTTTCATTAGATTTACCCTTGACTTTTGCAAGAAGCGTGCAAGTAATGTGTGTTTTTCTTAACCTAGCCATGCTATGGAAAGCTAATAACTCTTAAGCTGGCAGAAGGTATAACTCTGGATGCAGAAAGAGTGACCAGGATGGCTGGTCAAGGAGCTGTTTATGTTAGATCACTGGTGCCTTTGGAATCTGAAGATGAGGGTGAAACTGAAGAGGAGCTAGAGAATTCAGCATTAGATAACAGTCCAAGGTGAACTTTTTCTTGTGAATTTTTGCACTGAACAAGATAAAACCTGTATAGATTTCTTTTAGCTTTTTTGCCTCACTGTAAAGGTAGCTTCCCGATGCAGTAGAATCATCTTATATATGATAGACTGGCATCCCAGATCATGCTACTAGGCATGACAATGGCTTTTTGTTGGAAATATTATCTAGTTTGTCTCCAAACAGATTTGTGTATTTACTTATTTGTTTGTTTGCTCAGATCTTTATTCAATTGTTTAGCAGGACAGGACATAAATTAATGTGGTTTATTGCAACTCCATGTGATTGTGGATATTTGTATAAAGATGAACCTTCATAGTCTGTTACATCATTGCCAATTAGTTCCATTTTTTTATGGTTTGTGACAAGTTGATATTTCCTTTTAGTGTTAGTGGAACACAAAGAAGTTCTCTGTTGCTTTCATTTGGGGAGAGTGAAGGGAGGCCAGATGCAGCTGTGGTGTCCCACCCCTGCCAGGATGCTGCACAACCTTATTGTGTACCATTTCCAACTGAAGCAGAAACATCACATCAAAATACAGAGTTAAATGATGTAGAGACAGGCAGTAACTCTATTGTTCATGCATCATCTGAGCATTTTCCTGTGTCTGTATCAGTACCTGTACCTCAGCTGTTACCAAAATGTATCATCCAAGTGCACAGGCTAATTATTAAGAAGGATTTGATTGACTTATTCCGAGATCCATTAATTATGAGTCAGGACATAGAGATAATTGTTATTGATGCAAGGGGAGTTGAAGAAGTGGAGAGAGGTGTTGGGTTGCTCAGAGATGTTTTCTCTCTTTTTTGGAAAGAAACATATGATTCCCTTTTTGTTGGAGAAAATGAGCGTGTACCATTTGTAAGACTTGATTATCAAAGGGATGAATGGGTTGCTGTTGGCAGAATTTTGGTGAAAGGATATTTAACCTGTCAATACCTACCAGTCTTTCTGTCTCAAACATTCTTTGCCTGTCTTTTTTGGGGGGAATCTGCTGTAACTAGTGCTATGCTAACTCAATCCTTTAGAAATTACATTTCAGTTGATGAAAAATGTTTGCTGGTGATATGAAGTGGGATGATGAAAATGAAATGTCCCAGCTTTTAGAAGGTTTTAGTGACTATGACTGTCGAATTATGGTAAATTCTGAGAATATTATTCAAGTTATTGAAGAAATAGCCCACAAGGAGCTGCTGCAGAAGCCACAGTATATTGCAGACTGCTGGAAGGATATAGTTTCCACACTCCTTCCTAGTTTTCTTGATTTTGCAGCAATTTCCAAAAGGTATGAATTGTTAATACCATCCACAAGCAAAATCCTTAGTTGCCTAGAGGCAAACCCTGAGAGTGATGGGGAAAGGGATAGCCTTAAGTTTCTCTAACGGTATATTAAGAGCCTTGACACGCCTCAGAAATTATCAAAGTTTGTAAGGTTTATCAGTGGGTCTGAGTTAATGCTTTTTGATGCAGTCCAAGTAAATTTTACCAACGTATCTGGTTTGGGTCGCCGACCAATTGCCCACACTTGAAATACTGTGTTGGAGCTATCCTTGACTTATCAGTCATTTCCTGAACTTAGAGAGGAGTTCAGTGCAATACTTGCATCAGATTATTATGAGATGGATATTGTGTAATATGCCTTGTGACAAAAAGAAGACCATTATGATGGCAAGCTGATAGAACAGACTGTTAATTCATTTTCGTAGTGAAATTATGTTTTCTACCTTGGATGGGTATTTACGATTTTAAAACATCTAACAACAGTGCACATATTATTTTCCAGTATATCAAACTGGGAAATCGTTAGCTAATATATTGTTATCTGTTCAAAGTTGACATTTTCAAGTGAGCGCAGTTGTTTAGAACTTTATTGTTGAGACTTTAATGTATTTTTTCTTGACTGTTGTAAAGGTTAAGTTGCATTCGTTGTTCTATTCTGATTGATACAATTTGAAGGCAATTAATAAATTTAACACTGTTTGCGTTTTCAATCTGTAATAGTGGTACCTGTTTGATAGGCGTTAATTGATCTTAATTCTCTTGGCCCTGTTTTCACTCTCTAAACAACGAATTTCAGGTTAATTGAATGCTGGGAACACCTGTTTTGAAAGATAGTTACCAGCCAAGTTTCTTATATGTTGAACTGATTCCTGAGGATGTCTATGCATCTCAAATATTGAGTTCTACCATGTTCACTATCGTCATTCAAAGGGTGACAGGAGACTTCCAAGATATGCAGTTGTAGTGGTGTGAAGTGAACATCAACTGCTGGTATTGAGACCTGGGGTCAGTTCAATAAAGAAATTACACTTGTAGATTCTACAGTTGTAAAAAACGCATGTAAAGTCCGACTTGTAAATACAAGAATTCAATAAAAAAAATTCAAACACTGGAATTTACACGTGTACAAGCAGTCTGACTACAAGTGTTAATTACAATTGTAGCCGTACAATTGTAAATAGCACTGAGTGGATATGTAAACTACAAGTGAAAATTATTTCAGCTCAGTGCGGAAAATTTATTTCGTAGACCGCGTCGATTTTTTCCCTGTCGTTTCAGCATGTTGTCGAAATCCCAGAAATTGCTATTAGCGCAGCTTGTGAGGGATAACAAATCAGTTGTTTTGGCTCCATTTTCCTCGACTGTAACGAAAAAGGCGAAACAGGAGGCGTGGGAAAGCATCTTAAGACAACTGAATGGTGTTGGAGCGAGCGTCGACAACATAAAAACCCTGAGAGATGTTATCTGGGCAAACATTCGCCGCGGTACGATAAAAAAAGTCAGTGACTCGAAAAAGACCGGTGCAGGAGGGAGGGAACTCACAGAGCTGGACGATACAGTCCTTGATATACTTGGAAGAGAGAGCGCAAACTTGGAGCCTGTGAAGGTTGAAGACACACCAATTGTGTTTGAGAGTGAAGAGGTTGTCTGCACTACACCTGAGACCGAAGGTGAGATAATTTAGAATAACCAGAAACAACATTTATAAATCAAAATGTCCTTCTTTCGTTTCTCTGCGAGCAAGTTGTCAATTTGAAGCTAGGTCAGGCGCGATTATCGCGTTCCCAAATGAAAATGTTTCTTTCTTACTTTAATCGCAACTTAGCTTCGTTCAAACGCGATGAGTTTAAAGATGAGATTTTCATGTATCTACCAATCTTTTGTTCATTTAGATGCAAAAGCAAAGCATGAAACAAAACCTTCAGTCAAACCAAAGGAAGCCAAAGAAGACAAGACATCAGTATTCCAAAAGCCTACCATCAAATCGAAGAAGGGGCTGAAAAAGGCCACTGTCAGTTCCACAGCACAATTAGAAGAAGACATATTACGAATTAGGAAAAGAAAACTACTTTTAGAGTGTTCAAAGTTGTCCTTGGAGATTAAAATATTGAAGAAAGATTTCGAGGCGATGGATTAATAGAAATAATTTGACTGTTAAGTTTGAGAATTGCGTAAGTGCAATCAAGAGAATGAAAGCTAATAATGTCAATAATTTACAGAATTGTATCACTTTGTTAGAAAGTAATCACGCCGTTAATAAAAACAATTAGTCTTAGAAGGTTGGTGGTTTGCAATCATTTGTTTAATTATTAGAGGGAGGGCAACGGACAAGAGGATATCAATAATTATTGAAATGACTTCAATGACATAGCTCATACCATGGTTTAATGAATTCAATGACAGCTTCTGTTCTTTTTCAATTTCATATTTGGGCTAGGGGATCGTCCTAAGCATATCATTATAGTTTTATAAATACAATATCTGCAAATAATGAAGATCGAATAAGAAATGTAAACTAAATGTTAAGGCCCTTAACAATTTGATTTCACATCGATCGACATTGTCTCACTTTAATTCAAAGAAAATGCGCCAAGAGCTCTTGTCGTCTGTCCTCCTGCCCCTCGTCTTGCTCGGCAGACTCCCCTTCATCAATTTCCAGATCTTCGTCATCCAAAAGATCAGCACCATCATCGTTAAATAGTATGCAAATGTTGTGTAGTATGGCTGCACACTGGATAAGTTTAGCAGCTCGTTCCATACTTCTGACTCTTAAGCCTGTTTGTAGAGTGTAGAATCTTTTTTTTATAACACCATTGGCTCTCTCTATGGTGCTTCTGGTTTTCTTGTGCGCCTCATTAAACCTGAGGCGAGCACCTTCTACATCTCCCCTGAAAGGAGGAATCAGCCAGCTGTTGTACGAGTAGGCAGATTCGCCTAGAATTACTGCTCCAGGGAATGGCCTCTGAGCATTTTCTTCAAATGCAGTCCACAGAGTACTCTCTTTGAGAACCCGCGAGTCATGCCATCTCCCAGGACATCGGCTGCTACAGAAATATATTGAGTAATCTGGGCCGCAAACCATGGCCACATTGAGGGATTTCGTATGATGCCGATTCATGTATGCATCTTCATCACCAGCCGGGGGATTTACCAGAACATGGGTTCCATCCACGCAACCAGCAACACAAGGAAACCCAGCTATATCATGACACTTTGGAGCGATTCGAAGGGGCTGCTTGGGCCAACAAACAAGTTCTCGCTGTAAACTTAGTATTGCCGGCGTAACGCGGTCTATGACATTCCAAACCGTTGATGTTGAAATTCCATGGCACGAATGCATCACATGGTAAAACGAGTTCGTACCAAGGAAGTGGAGAAATACTAACAATTGTTGTCTCGCCGTCAACGGTCTGTTGCGCCGTGTTCTGTGTTCCAATTGCGGACCCACTGCTGCCAGTAAATGTTCGAATGCATCGACTGGGAGACGAAACTTCTGTCGAAATTCGCGTGGATTTTCTACGTCTAAAAGCCGTCTTTCCTCAAAATTCCTCGGCTGTCGTCTTATTCTATTTCTCAAAAGTTCATCTATTTCTTCTTCACTCGAAGATGACATGCTATCTCTTTAAATGAGGCCAACAACAATTTGCTCTCGAAGTTTACAAGTGACTTATAACTTGTAATTTGCTCTTGTATTTTACAAGTGGACCAC